TAGAGGGTGGTCTGGAAGAAAGCATAGGCTACTCAGTCAGTTTTTTTTAACTCCACGCGGACGGCGTCGCGGGAGAAAGCTAGTTATATTACATTGCAGATAATTTTATGTTACAGTTATAGACATCATAATTTATTGCTTTAATAACTTAAACTCTAATTGAAATTGATATTTTTAAGAAAAAGTAATCAATTGTTTAATATGCAGCGAAGTTACTGCAAATAACATTAACCAAATTTATTATTAAAACCATTGACAATTCCAATTAGGGTTCAGTTTACGTAACACATAAAAGTACATAAGAGTAGGTAATGGATGACAGCGGTATCGTATGAATTTATCGGACGCTTTCAATCGGATAGTTGGCAAGTTACGACCGTAGCAATTCAGTCGGTCAAATGACAAGGCTTCCATTTGGATACCATGCAGTTACAGTTATATATCAAAATAATTCAATCGACCTTCACATTACGAACAAATCGGACGTGATATGTTGTGTAGTTCATTAATAAAATTATACAATACTGCTATTCAATGTAGTGTATTTTTGAAAATAAAATCATTCAACTTTGAAGCCCTCTAGTATCTAAAGGTGGATACAGACTGGATAAGAAGTGAAAGGACACAGCAAACAACTCGTAACACTACATCACCCTATATTTTTCACGTACCACTGCGTTCTACCTACTTACATCTGTCGGAGTGCGGTGTTAGATGATTGTCATGTTTTTAGGAAATAAATGACTCATCCCCCCTTAAACTATACGTTATTTTCGGACATAATATAAATGATAAATGACATCAATTCGGATAATTTCAATTTTACTGAATATATTTCGTTTACTTTTATACCACGAAACCATATCCTTTCATTAAATGCTTGTACTGGTAACAAAAAAAAATGAATAGGTATTTAGGAAAAAAAAACACGACCGAATTCATAAAGATCATGAGCGGACTATGGGTTTCCTTAATAGCCGAGTGAGAATCATGAAGTTGTATTATTGCTACATAGAGGACTACATAAAACATGTTTCGGCTTTTACGATGCGTAGGCCACATCCTCAGGCCATCTGACCTTTTCATCCTTAGTACCTTGCTTAAAATTTACAACATCATTGTAGAAAGTACAAGTTTTAAAATAAATTGAATAGAATTTTTTTTAAGATCTTTATACAATGTAAGAGTACTAACTACATTTTATATTTGATATTTATAGAAATGTTTAACGATACAAGAAAAAAGAGACGAAGCATATTTTTTGCTATTATTTTTTTCAAGTCATGTTTATGGAAAAAAACCTCGACAAATACAATTTTATTTATTTAATAAACTTGCATTTGAAAAATAAATAATAATTATACATTGTAAAAAGATAACCTAAACTAAATTGTTATGTCATCCATGTCCGCAACTTCAGTACGTAAAGAATAAACCGCAAATGATACCGCAGGTCCAATGTCAGATGTCTCCTCGAAATAGAACGATCTTGATCTGAGAATATGACCCAGTTATAAAACGAATAGTGGGAGGTTAAATTACATACAATTTGTATGGCCACTATATAATTTTTGTAATCAAATAATTTACGACGTTTGAGTGAGATATAGGTCAATCTAATATTTGAAAAAGGTACTATTGCAAGCCATTTTTATCTTGTTCTAATATTGTTTTGAATACTCGTTTAAATATTTCTGGAGAAATGTTTAAGGTATTTTAGGCTATTCTTAAAATAGCATGTTTGTGATTATATCCTATTGTTTTTAATTATTTTTCGATTTTTCTATAATTTACGAAAGTAAAAAAATGTAATGACGATTTTCTTTCTCGAAGTGATTTCGATAGACATCTGGATGATATTTTCGCCTCATGAAAGATTTGGGAATTCGATTTCATCAAACATTCGAGTACCCAATTACTTAAGGAAAGTGCTGGCTTGAAACGAATATCTTTAGCTTCGTCATTAGGATCATACTAAAATAAAGCTACTACCAAACCTTATTACATCTGATTTTATTATTTAGTAACTGAATATTTTCTGTAACTTACTTATATTGTAGATGTGAAAGTTGTCATGAATGGATGTTTTTTTAGAGTTTGTAGCCTAAACTGCTGAAAAGATCTCGATGGAATTTGGCATAGACGTAGAAGATAGTCTGAAACAACACATAGGATACTTATTTTTGTTTTTAATTCCACCTGGACGGAGTCGCGAGCCAATGCTTTGAAACTCAAATAATACTACAGTGTATTTTTTTTTAATTAATACAATTATAAAATCTAAAATTGCCCATATTTGTCTTCCCTATATGGAGTGTTTCATATCAAAAACTTAATATCCGAGTAGTTTAGTAGGTATAGTTATATGTAGAGAATGTAGGCTTTCGTGTCAAAGGACAATCACACAAGCGATTGTATCGACATTTGCCGGTGCCAGCCTTCAAACGACACGATGACTCACCTCACCACAAAATCAATAACTTGTACCATACTTACAGCTTTTACTAACTTTCATTTCCTTGACAATTGTATTTTCAATTTTTTTTTAAAGATATTTGTTTTGTCAACCTATGGTCCAAAAATATTAAATGTGAATGAGTCTTTTAAACTAAGCGCTTATTTTAAATAATGATTTTAATTTTATTTCATTACATACCTAAACACAAAATTCTCCTTTGCATAATAATGTAGACGAATAAGAAAGATGCAACAAAATAAAATATTTAAAGACTGAATTTTAATCAGGAAAATACAGCAATGGTTTTTGTGCATATCTGTAAAGAAAAATACGGAAAACAAACGCTTCGTTTTATTACTTTCAAGATAAAATTTCCGGCGTTGCGCATGCAACAGCAGCCTTCGCCTATTTCAATATCAGGTATTGGAAGGTCAATTTGAGAAACGATACCGATATTTTCAATTAAATTTAGTTTCGATAAATACTTCTTGGTGTACGTTACTTATACATTTGCTAAAAACATTTAATTCCTTTACTATAGTGGGAGGTGAAAAATTAATATTTTAATATCATATAAATTAATTTGTGCAGCATTGTTATTTTAATTTTCAATTTATACGTCTTAGTTGTTTTCACATTTAGCTTATTATAATGAGTGAAGAATAATTACTATATAGGTAAGATTTTTTGTCGCTTTAAATGCTTTTAAATAAACATTCTTTACGTAAATGCTATGAAACAAGATAAGGAAAATTGAAACTTTCCTAAGAAGAATCTTAAAAAAAGGACTTCACTTGAGACGTGTATATCAAGTGAGGAATGCGAAAGAAAATTTCCTTAAGAGCGCTAAGTTAAATCAATTTGTAAGGGTCACAGAGATCGCGGTACATCCGTGTACAAAAGGTCTATCGCAATTCTGGAACCTTTTTTCTCTCATTTTGATGTTTTAGGACTGAAATGATGAGTAATATGTCTGTACTATTATTAGAATTCTACTACTTGTTGTTTCTAAGAGATATAAGTATGAAAGAACTAATTCATTGAAATAATAGATTGATAACTATAATTTGTTCAACGAAATTTGAAATTCAGTTATTCTTAAAATCAGATAAGTAATCCAAAAACCTGATGACAGATCAGGATTTTAATCCATATTTCAGATGTTAAAGATTGAATATTAGGTTCGTCCGTCAAACAACACGTATACATATGTATTTCTGTCTAGATTAATCCATAGCCTTAAGTAATGCGATGGTGTTGTTCCCATCAAGCCTTAAGGCACGAACGGAAGCTCGTCTCCTCATATAGATAAAGCCCTCTTTATTGTCTCCAGTAATTGAAAGGTCGGAGGTATTTCCCTCGGAGCTTTTAAATTGGTCTCAGCTGCTCGTTCAAACTGTGAAATAGCGCTTTCTTTGCTTAATATATTGCGACTATTCTACAAAATGACGACTTTGCTTTTTTATAAAGTAAGGCGCTGCAGCGCTTTTTTATTATTCTTTTACAAGTAAATAGTCTTTGTTTTTTAAGACGTCAGTGCCTTTATAAGAGAAAAGTAGGTTTATTTTTATGCCAACAATAATTAAAATAAACATTTAATTGTATCAAAACAGTTTAACTAATTTGTAACTATTTCTTTTTGCATATTGCCAAACAAATAAATAACTTTTAAAATTGAAATTATTTTTTTCATGTTAATATGTTTTTTTTAAATCTTAAATCATTAACAACAGTATTCTTGATTCTACTCATAACAATAATACAAATGGGCAATCTTGGTTGTTTTGTTTACACTGTGACTAATTAATGAACTACCCACTAATTCAAATATTGGTAGGTAGTTGATAAATTTTATTAAACTGCATCTACGTATTTTGTAGTTCCAGTGCACACATTCATTTTTGTTTTAAACGTAAACGTAAGCAATAGTTAATTAGTTTTTATGCAATTTCAAGTTTTTTGACAGAATAAAATAGTGGTGTATAAATCTTATTATATTTGTGATACGGAGTAGTTCTTCTTCAATCAAGTGTTATATGTCGATCTTCTGTAAGTAATCGTAATCTAATTTATACATGTCTAAACTATCTTAACTATTTTTTAGCTTAAATGGATTCTATTACCACTATAATAATAATTTTAATTAGACAATTGCCTAATATACTTCCTACATTTTTGTTGAATTATCACCGTAAATATCCACAGCCTAAATATCTGTACAGAATATGCCGTAATCTTACAAAAATGTGTTAGAAATATGACTGTCACTGATTGACTTTATGGATTTCTATACCTCATCATAAATGTGTATTACCATATAGGGTTAGGTATAATTATTTTATAAGAATGCATTTTCTATAACTTTGCATGATAATGTTTGAATAACCATGATTTGTTTAAAAAAGGCGCTGGCACAATACAAAAGGGTTAACCTATGTTTAAGCTAAAATGTATTTAAAACTCTAATTTTTTTGGTTGTTTTCAAGGATAATTATAAGAAGTTTTTGTATATTTATTTCTAATATAAATATTTTTTGTACAGACAGTGATCTCGAGTCGATCCGCGCGCTGTTCAATGAGAAGGAGAAGGAGCTGTCGGTGGCGGTGGCCAAGGTGGAGGAGCTGACGCGGCAGCTGGAGGAGCTGAGGCGAGGGCGCGCGCAGCCGCCGCCGCCTGCCGCCCACGAGCTCGACAAGCTGCGACGAGAGCTTATGGTGAGATAAAATATATACACAATAACTAATCAATCGAAATATAACAGACTAATATTTACACGTGACTTTAACTAAACGGTGAAAGAGAACATCGTAATGCACATATCGCCGAAGAAATTAAAAGATATGTGTGAAGTCAACCAACCCGCACAGGGCCAGCGGGGTTGACTAAGGCCTAGTCACCGTAACCTAGTGTAGACTCCAAGCCCCTCAGTGGGGATTTGTAGTGAGCTGGTGATGATAATGATGATACATTTTATAATGAACCGAGCTATTTATCTTTTATTCTGTTTATAAAAACAGCTTATAGAGAATGTAGATACTTGAATGTTGTCTATTTGGATTTTATAATGGGTCGTATATACAGGTTTTGTCACTTAATGTTTGTTTTTATAATGTTCTCTGTTTTCAAACTAATCATATTTTTCTATTAAATTTAAGCATTCCAGTAGGAGTTATAATAAGGAATAAAAATCCAACGAATTCTTGAACTAATGCCCGTTAGACGCTGAATAGACTTAAGTAGGCTAACAATCAAAAACCTTTTCAACAATGTATTGGAATCTTTGGAACGGACGTTTTATTCAAGAATAAACAATCAAGTTAAGTCGAGTATTCTCTCGGCTCTCGCTATTGCAAATAAACTTATATGGAATCCCTTTTCAAATTGCGAGCCCTTGTCAATGTCGGGACGTAAGGAATCAAGATTTACTCTGATTCCATCAACGAATCAGATTTCATAGACAGTACTTAAATTAGCTTGTTTTTTTAAAGATATTGTTAAATTGTAACCATTTAATTGATTGTTAATGTACCAAAAATATAAATAAAATAGGCAATTTGTCGATATGGAAATCTCGACATTTTTATGCAATTTTCTTAGGCTGAAAGCATAAAGGATAGGTCGTTGTCATTCCAGATTTGATTCTTTTTCCCGAGGTAGCTCAAAATTGACCAAAACATTCAACCAATTCTTCCGCCAACAATGTCGCAATGTTACTAAATAATAATGAAAGACAGTTACTGAGTTATCATGGCTCCATTTTAATTTGATCCACAATAAAAGTGGAACAGGATAAATTAACGCTGACCTTTTAGCCATCCGCTCGTCGCGGCTATAAAAAATTACTGCTAAGAGCTCCGAGTACCCCACTATTGTATTACGAGTACTACATTTGATTTCTAAATCGAATTTTAATTTAAAAATAAATTCCCTGCATCTCTATTTTATTTGAAGGGGATTAAAGTAACAAGCAATGCTTTTACTCACTATTTTCATTTATAATAAAATTTGCTTTCACCCGCGACTCCTTCCGCGCGAATTTATAAAAAACTTAGTACGAGTATGTATTCTTCCAGACTATGTTCTACATCTATGCCAAATTTTATCGAGATCCATCTATCAGTTTAGGCTACAAACTCTAATAAACATCCATCCATCATTGAAGTAAGATTGTATAAACACTATTCATTTTATAAAACGTATCTATCGATTGACGAGCGATGAAAAATTCGATCAAACGCCTAGCTTCGGTCTGTCAGCATTCCGTCTTACCGCACGTTGTTTGCCAAGTGGGTTGCCGGAGTAAGGTCGAACTCGCCTGGTTTTGATACACTGCCATTTTCAAGGGGATCTATTACATTGTCACTATGATGACATCATTAAAAAAGAATTTAACCACAGACAAAACTAAAGGTCACGTAAGTAAACTTTAACATTAGCAATTTGCAATAAATTGCACTGATATGTGCCAAGTCAAATAAATGAGTTATGAATGAATAAATTGATCCAAAATAAAAATAAATTATATCACAGGTTATAATAGTACCATGTCTAATAATATTGTAATCAATCAATAGTAGTAATTACCTTGCATTTCATCCTTTCATCGAGATAATAAAAATCAAATGATACACCTGACGATTCACAGCGAGTATCGCGTCACTGAACTAATTTCATGTCTACAGCCGCTGCCAGCGTTTAGAATCAGACTATTTGACAATTCAGTTAGTGCCCCGACTCCCGACTAGCTTACATGCTCATATGACCTTTGTTATAATGTCAGTGTGTAATAAACAAATAGTATACGATCTAAATACTGTACAGTGCCGTGACAAATTTCTAGTGAAATGTTATTAGGACATTATGAACACATGGTGCTACAGGTATAAGAAACGGAAGCCGAATTGTAGATTACGTTTGCGACAAGTACGTGGAAATTAGTATTTGGATACATTATAGAAGTGTAATTTAGACTAGTTGTTGCTCGCAACTTCGTCTCTGTTGAATTAAAAAAATGATAACAAATGTAGTCTATGTTATGCACGGATAACGCAACTTTTTAATGGTGAAAGAATTTTTGTATTCGACTTAGTAGTTGTTAAATTATTTCTATATACAAAAATACAAAACTTTCCACTTTTTAATATTAGTATAGATGTTGCCTTTGAATATGCGTTCAATATTTCTGACTAAAATTGTAATTTTATTTTGTAATTATATTTTCAAAGAAATAGCATTTCTTAAAGTCGTATCGTCAATATGCGGTTCTACTAATTATTTAATTTGTACTAAGTGTTTTGTTTATACAAATCTTGGTTAATTAAGATGCTTATGTCGTATGTCTATTGTTATAATTTAATGGTATCTTAACACGACATAGAAATGTCATGAAGGGAATTACGAGGTACTGTGTAATCCCATAAGAGCTTCCATAAGGTGTTCCTAACCCACATTAATAACCTTACTTTGGAGCTTAACTGTGTAAATTACACCTTTCCTTAATTTACCGTACCAATGTATAGATACTTATAACAATAATAAAATATATTATTTCATATTTTCATGGTATTTGGTATGTTACCAATATTATTACAATAACACAACTTCCATATCTTTACACAAATTGTTGATCCAAATTTAGTTTAAGTACTAGCTTTCGCCAGCGACTCTGTCGCCGAGGAGTGATAAAAAAAAACAAACATTAATAGCCTATGTGTTCTTTCCAGACTATCCTCTAGGTCTATGCCAAATTTCACCGAGATCCATTCAGTCGGCTACAAACTCTAACAAACATCCATCCGTCTTAACTTTCGCATTTATAATATTAGTAAGATTACTAAGTATTAATTTTAGCACTTTTTTTAAATGTAGGTTAATCCTCTTTACTATATATAGACGGCGATAGGCTACATAATTATTCTAAAGCTATGTAGAACCGGAGTAACCCCACGAGACGGCACAAGTATTTAATAAGATTAGCATATTTATGAGACAGGCTACAGTCTTACACAATCTAGTTATGTGTGGCAATTACAATTAATTAAAAGAAGCCAAATATTTTGAACATGTATATAATCTACGAGCTTCATTCCGAATTTCGTTTTCATCCTTCACACACGCACGATACAGAAAAGTTGTTCTTAATATCGAGCAGAAAATTCATTGACATGGAAAAAGTCGTTCAGTTGGAATTGATTTAGCACTAGAACGTTTCGTGGTCAGTTATATCGGGTACGTAATAATGGGAGTTCGATAGCTCTGTTGTGCTCGGCGTGTTGATTACGAAGTGCAGTGCGACCGTATTTATGAAGAGCCGACTGATTCGATACGAATTTCACACTCCATTGTACTGCAAATTTATTGGGTCGACCGCATCATTTCGTGCGGATTTAGGAACTCCTATCAATGGGATGAGTGGTCAGCGAAATATGAAATGGTTTTAATTTTATATCAATTGGAGATACTATATTTGTATAATTATCAAATTTTCACATTTCATTAATTTATAGCTGTTGCTCGCAAGGCCGTAAGCGTGAAATTATTTAATTTAAAAAATAGCGTCTATGTTATACACTGATAGCTTTTTAACGGTGAAAGAATTTTCTAAATTGGCGCAGTAGTTTTTGATTTATTACAAAATACACAAAAATACATATCTTTCCTCTTTATAATATTAGTATCGACTAAAATTTTAATATAATTCAAGATTAAAACTAGAACGTCGTGTTTATCTATAGCGTCTAAGTAGGAAGTTTCACATAAACTCGTGTATTATCGTGGAAACTGATGTTTATGTTATAAACAGCTGTTGTCTCAAGTTACTAATATAATATCGGGATTTCGTTTATCTTACGTTGTATTACAAATACTCGCATAATATTACACGGTACTGAAGTGTGTATCTTCATTCTTATATTCTATATTACATAGGGACTTTACTTAAAATTTTTATAGGAGCTAGACAGTCATCAACTCAGGTCTTATTCACACACGATTTTTCGTCAATGTTTTTTGTTCAGGTTTTGTTGTTTTTAGTAGTAAGGGATTGATATTGGTCATGTTAATAATTGCTCCAAACCACACGTACGTAAAGTTTCGTTACACGCCATGCATTTTCAATCTTTTCATGTTTTCAATATCGTAATCTACGTCATATTTTTTAGTAAAGACGTGATATCGCTCATTTGATATACATGTCAATCTATTTAACCTGTATTTACTTGATAGCTAGTTTTTGTCGAATTCAAAAGAAACAAAAGTGGCCCGTGTGTTCTTCCAGACTTTGCTTTACGTCTATACCAAATTTCATCAAGATCACCTGCTTAGGCTACAAACTCTAACAACCATCTAACCGTTACTATTAATAAAAAGTAATATAAGATATCTGTATTGCAGTACCGCAACAAGCTGAATGAGCAGCAGAACGGGCGGCTGTCGGCGCAGCGCGCGGCGCTGGGCGCGCGGCAGGAAGAGATGCGCAGCATTGACCGGCGCGTGGCGGAGCTGCAAGCGCGGCTGCTGCGGAAACGAGCTCTCAACCGACAGCTCGCCGCCGCGCACCGCCAGCCTCGACCGCCCCAGCAGCCGCAACACCAGAGGTAAACAACTGTTACAAGAGCCAAAAGTCTATCCAATCTCGTGATTACCGACTTTTACTTTTTTTCCTGAATCCGCCAAAATGGCGAAGCGACCGCTTCCTATAGACATCCGCAATTGCAGTGGCGTTTCTTACCTTGAATCGACAGTGGAGGAGACGCATATACAGAAGATATTTTCCCTTCCTAAGCGTCTCTTCGCCGTCAAATCCACTTTCCCTCCCCATTCTTTCCTTATAAGAAAAGGGCGGCTTACCGCCCTAATAAAAGTACTTCTCCGGCACCACATAATGTGTTTAATTGTTACTCATTACTATTTAATTAATATTTACTGACTGCTGATCTAAAAGGCATTTAATGAATACGTAAAATGTCGCTTAGTGTAATTTTAAAACTAAATAAAAGAGGACAATGTGTCTCATTCCCTTTCGTTTGTCTTCTTATTGACGGTATTTTCAATATTGCAATCATTGGTTTTGTGACAACGGTGACGAACCTATTATTAGTATTAGTATTTAATACAGCTTTGACACATCTATAAAACTTGAATCCTCTATATATTCATTTTGCAAAACTTAACGTTAAATAATTTAAAGTTACTTTCAGCAAGTAAATTCCGCTCGCGATTCAATATATTTAGTGCTACGGTGAAAATCCATTACGGGGCTAAAATTAACGTCAACACTGAAGCTTGGGAGTAAGCTGTTACAAGTGCACTCGGAAACTCTCGCACCGATGCCGCGTTTCATTCCAACTACAGCGAAACACTGAGCCTGAATGAACGGCAAACCGCCATTAAAGTTACGCTAAGCATATGCAACGCCCCGAATTGCTTCGCGGAATTTAAATTAATAAACTCATCGCAACTACTGCGTTTAGATTGTACTAGATTTCCGTCTGTATTTCATTAGTAACTAATGTAAAGATCATTAACAAATCTGTCCCACATAAACCGTTAATTTTTCCGGGAAAAAATTTAATCTACGTACTTTTCCAAACCGTAATCTATCTCTGTACCTATATGCCTGTCATATGTTTATTTGGAATGCAAATATTACTTACAGAACGAATAACCCAACGCCAATGCAGCAGCTGCCGAGCTACCCGGCCGGGGCGGGAGGCGCGGGCGGCGCGGCCGGCCAACCAAAGAACCAGCCGGCGCGCGGCAACGTCGCCGCCGTCGAGCCCTACAACCATGTGCCCCATGCCCAGAGCCTTAGCCATAATAATAATTTCCAGGTAATGAATATATTAAGTAAGGACTAGCAAGGTGCTTTGCGTTAGAAATTTCTCTAAAATATAAATTTATTTTCCAGGCTTTGAAGCAAAACGTGATACAAAATAACGTGCCATTAAAACAGCTCACCCAGAGCGATAACATACAAAGTCACCTCACGCAGCAAGAAGCTCACTACTTACACCAAAAACAAATGATGAACCCTCTGTTCAACGGCGGCTACCCTCATCCCGCGCCCGGACAGGATAGTCAGTACCCGTCGCAAGCGCCGTTCCAGGAGAAACATGATGCTAACTTTGTCCAACAAGGCATCGCCAACTACGATCAGAAGCCGATGTACGACCTCCTTTTGAAATACCCAGAATATTCAAAACAACCACAATACAGTCCGAACAGCACCAGTAGTTCAAATAGCAACCAAACGGGGAAAGAAATAAAAATCAACGAACAAGAATTTCCTCCAGAATTTGCTGCGAGCAAATCGGATCCTAAATACCAAACGTTACCTTACAACACTAAATTTCCGCAAGGTAACGGGAAAGTAAAACCTGAAGTGAACGGCAAAGTGGTCGATGTGCAAGATGCTAAAAATCAAAACGCAAATATTAATCATATGACCGTCCATTCCACACCTTTATCGGTCATCAACAAAAGCTTGGCCACGCCTCTAAGTCAAACGGAAACGACATATCAACAAGAACATACATATCAATTACAAAAATCTGACTCTTCTAGTAGGTGTAACCAGGAAGGGAAGGAAAATCATGCATATCCACAAAACTCTAGGTTAAGTCAGAATAGTCAAGGCAATGAAGTTTCAAAAACGAATTCAAAGAATCAACAGAGCGTGAAAGGCAGTTCGCCGATTTCGACCGTCGCCGGCAGTTCCATAGGATTCGGGGTAAGCTCTCTTTCAGTTTAACTTTGTTCGTTCATTGCCATCATTTACATTGCTCGTTCTCGCATTTGCACTGTCGTATCATAATCATGTCGCCTGTACATAACATCATCATTTTCCAGAAACCCGTATCGAGCGTAGCACCCACATCGGTTCAGGTCTCGAGCGGGAAGCCATCACCCATTTACCAGACATCCTCGACAAAGATCCAACCCGTTCAACCGCAAATCGTTCAGACCCAAAGCATTACTGTACCGAATCATGTAGCTAGTAACATGGTGACTTCCCAACCCCAGATCGTTAGGAACACGGCGTCAGGGCTCTCGGGAAGCTCGGCCGCGAACCTGAGCGGTCAGAGCGCGTCCTCGCAAAGCCTCTTGTTGTCGCCGCCGCAGAGCGCGAGCACGCCGCTCGCCACGCCCGACGTCAGCGGGGCCGACAAGTCCCCCAAGCCCGCGCTACCTCCCAAACCCACCATCAAGGTATTCCTCATCTGTCCTGAAATTCTCAAAACCGATAAGTAATTTGGAAATTATATCTCAATTTCATGCTTTTCAGACTCCACCGAGACAATCGGTAAACAATGACCAAGCTCCGGAGAATAACATTCAGTCGCACGGCCAAGAATCATCAAATGACAGCGAGCCCGCGCTAAGCCAAAAGGAATCAAGTAACGGTAGTAGCGGAAACGAAATGATTATCAAAGCGCGTCCCCTCACCATCAGGAAACCTCCGCTAAGCGAACAGCCCAAACTGAGAAACCTCAACAATGCCAAGAATGGGATCAGCGTCAGTATAAACCGACGTATTGAAATGCCACCAGCATTCTTGTTCCCCGAAATGGATCATTTAACATTAGACACCAACGAAATGCAGAACGGCGTAAAAGACAAGACGAAAAAGGATGAGGTCGATAGATCTCTCAATAACAACATATCGATGAGTTCCAATGAGAGACAAGAAGACAGCAAAGACAACGGTGTGTCGGACATTGCGGAACAAATAAGTTCCGTTGATTTGAACGGTCAGGATTCTCAGAGAGCTGAGAATGTGCTGAGGCGGTCAAAGAAAGGCAACCTGAAGCAAGGCGGCAAGGCGCCGCTCGCCCGCCGCGTCAGCTTCGACCCGCTCGCTCTGCTCTTGGACGCCAGTCTGGAAGGAGAATTAGAATTGGTTAAGAAAACTGCAACACAGGTAAATTTACTGTTTAATATTGAATATGTCGATTATTTTTCTTTACAAATTTTAAGGTGATATCATCTGCCCTTATAAATCATGACGAAAAACAAAAAATCATATTTCAGGTGCAAAATGCAAGCGCTGCCAACGACGAAGGTATCACTGCTCTCCACAACGCCATCTGCGCGGGACATTTCGAGATAGTCAAGTGAGTACATCGAAGATTTTGCTTTACTTTCACCACTTTGAATAGAAAAATGGTACGGAAGTAAACCGTCTATATACTCATTTGCTTTGACTAGCGAAAAATGCCCTCAATAACTAAACTTCCGAGTACCCTGTATAAGTGCAGGAGCCTGCGTTTGTGTGGATCTGTCGTAACGCGGCGGTGTTGTGCCAGGTTCCTGGTGGAGCTGGGCTGCGACGTGAACGCGCAGGACTCCGACGGCTGGACGCCGCTGCACTGCGCCGCCTCCTGCAACAACCTGCCCATGGTGCGCTTCCTCGTCGATAATGGTACGCATACAATTGTATTTATGCCACTTTCTTTAATTACTTGTACCTATTGCTCTCACCCAACCCCAACGTTAGATCCTGTATTATCGTATGGAAGTTATATGGACAATTTGTTTTGTTTTCAGGCGCTTGCATATTTGCAACAACTCTGTCAGATCATGAAACGGCGGCTGAGAAATGTGAAGAGGACGAAGAGGGTTTCGACGGATGTTCAGAATATCTGTACAGTAAGTAGTATGACGTTACTTTACTAAAAAAAAAAGAAATAGAAAGCTTTTACAAATATCTTGTCGGTTTAGAGGAAGCAACATTTGCTAACCAAAAATAATAGCAAAATGCTGTTTCCAGCCGCTAAGATATAAAACTTATGAATGTTATTAGACAAAAATGGGTTTATTCCCAACGAGGTGACGGTCGGGAATAATCCCAAATATGTGAACAATATTGTAATGACCGATTGCAGGCGTGCAAGAGAAGCTGGGAATAATGAACAGCGGCGCGGTGTTCGCGGTGTTCTCGTACGGCGCGGCGCGCGGCGACGAGCTGTCGTTCGAGTGCGGCGCGCGCCTGCACGTGCTGCGCAAGGGCGACGACAGCGAGCGCGAGTGGTGGTGGTGCCGCGACGACGCCGCGCGCGAGGGCTACGTGCCGCGCAACCTGCTCGGGGTAAGTGCAGCTGCCTCACCGACTCACCGCCTCACCACCTCACACCACTTACACACGAACTGCCCGCAAACTTCGTTACCTCAGAATTTTTAAAAAAATTGTCCTATACGGGTATAAGATTATCTCCCACATCTATCTTCTACCTTCCAGTGAAACACTCGTCCAAATCGTTCCACCCGTTCCAAAGATAACGATCCGAACGCTATTTTGACAGCGGGGAATTAAAAGAAAAGTGCACATCCTTGTCAGCTACCCTCCAGTGAAAGTCTCGTCAAAATCAGCCCAGCCGTTTTTGACATTATCCGGAACAAACGCAACTTGCGGACAGACAGACAAAAAAAAAATTAATGCGATTTTCGTCATCAGCAACGCAAATACATCATTTTCTCGAAAACGGGGATTTTTCTTTCGATATGCCATACAGACTCTCCAATTTTATTATACGTATGGATATCATCTTTTACACAATCTTAATATACTTTCTTCAGTCTTCCTTTACCTTTGTTGTCATGTTTAATAACATGGTCATAGTTTTATAACGGTGATGCATTTTTGTTTCAGTTATATCCAAGAGTAACCAGCCAGCAGGAATAAAGGAAATACAAGGCCTAATTAATTATTAAGTAATGAAGTTGTAAATACGGTAGCGATTATTATTTTTTATGTATTTATATCACTCTAATCTAATTAAAGATATTGTATACACTTTTATGAAATCTAATATTTTGTATATATTTAAATAAGTCCAAACGAATGAGATTATATTGTACATTTTATAAATACGCGAGTCATTGTAGTAATTGGTAACAGTTTGTATATTATGCTTAGGACGTTTGCAAATATTGTGAAATACTACACGTAAATTGACAATACAAAATGATACATAATAAGGTGGATCTTTTATTTTTAACCAAAACTTATTCGTAAAGCCATCGATTTAAGTGACTTATTGGTGTGGTGTCGGTGTAGAGCCGACCCATTCGTGCAAAGATGTTAAAGCGGGCTATAGCACTGGTACATATATTTCATTAATGTCAGTAAATACTCCATCAAAGTATTCCATGTAGGTTCCAAGTATGTAAATCGTAGAAGGTATTTCTCAATTCAAAAAGGTTCCATAACTCACAATTCTAGCAATTTTGAATAAATGGCGCTATATTGGAACTATCTTCCAATTTTCTTGTGATAATTTCTGGAATAACGGATAGATGGCGTTGTAACTCTTTATGAACATTCCACATTTTGCGATAATTCTTGGAATAGCGGACAGATGGCGTTGTACAGTATTTTTAGCGGCAACATGTAATAGAGAAAAATATAATTGTTTTGATTTAAAATTAAGTTTCATTCAATAAAGAAAATTACAAAGAAGTATGTTTTATTTTATCATATCTTTTATGAGATTTACAAATAAATTCATAGCGATATAATGAAAATACGTATTGATCATAAAAATTTATTAACTAACAGATTATTTCACATTTCCCCATCATCAGAATCTTCGATATCAGCAAGTGCTTGTTTCGCTTGGTTCTCTGCTTCGGAGGCGAGTTCTCGCGGCACGAGCTGGTGGCGCCCCCTGGTGTCCTTGCACACCCACGATAATTCCAATTCAAACTGCTTATCCTTTAACTCGTCGTGAACTAAATAAATACTGTAATAAGATTAAAACAGATATTAAAAATGCATCCTCAAAGAAATGTTAAAAAAGTGGCACTTGTAGCGATAATATTTCTAAATAATTTAGCAATTAATACAGAAAAGACATTAAATCTATATTTGTACTGTATTCAACCCTAACTTAAAACATACAGTAAACTAGACCCTGCACATATACAAGCTGACATCAAGGTTTACAAAAAGCAATTTTATAGACAGATTAGCTGTGTCTCGCGACTGCACCCGCTTGAAATAAAAAAAATAATGATTATGGCCTATATTACTCAATGATATCATAGCTTTTTAAAGGTGCAAGAATTTTCGAAATCGGTCCAGTAGTTTTTGTTTTTGTTTTTTTTCTACTGTATGTAAAAAAGAAAACTTTCTTTTTTATAATGTTAGTATAGACAAAAAGAGAAACTAAACTATGATACCTAATTTGCCCTTATTTTATGCCATTTCCTATGTGCATTTTTTCCCGACGGGAATGCCTTACGCATACTCCGCATCCGGGGGGACGCAGTAGTTACTTGGGGTTCTCCCCATAATGGGGCATACCCACTAAACCCCTCGGTTCCTCTAACGATAGTGGCGGGGACACGGACACGGAGAGAGAACTATCCTATAGCAGCACGAATTTAACATCCTTGATTACATTTTATAAATTACTGTACTTGTTATAAATTTAAAATGTCAGGTTAAGACTGATAGAATCTTTAATACTGTCATGATTCAACTACTGCGAGTACCGTAGTTTACGGGCCCAGGCTCTTTTTAAAACTCAGCGGGCGATTCAACGGTTGCAAAATGCATGCATGCGTTTTTGCTTTAACATACCAAGGAGCACATTACCTCATATTACAATAATTATAATATTTTAAAGATGTCCGGACGTCGCTTGTTGCATCTGGCTAACATGACACATAAAGTCATCGTCTGTAAATGCCTTAAGTATCTCTCAGATAAGCTTGAATGGAGAAAAGGGACTGGGGCCCATTTGACAAGAACTATTTCACAAAACAAACTGACTATACCTAAGCACAATACAATTGGCTTTCTAAAGCTTAAAACCACCTCTAGGTGGTTTTAAGTTTTCGACATCAAAGGTTTTGAATGATCTTCCACCACCTATAAACCAAATTGTATCGCATCCAGGTTTTGAATATAAGTGTAAAAGATTCCTTTTAGAGTCACAAATTCAAAACTGTAAATAAATAAGACCAAAGTCACTATGCTATTACTTTGTTTTTACCACCTCACTTATTGACTATAATATAGTGGTTTGGTATGCACACTTAATTATAAATTAAGTTTGAACCTATATGTTATTATTTTTTTTTAATTATCTTTAAAAATTATTATCTAGCCTTTGAAAAAGAATAAAATTGTAACCTTATATATCATTTATTTCTTAATATTTTATGTCTGTCTCGGTTAAGTCACCCTACTTATGTGTTAAACTCATGTGTAAAGGGGCCAGCTGAAAACCAGCGCAGTAACGGCTTGCGCCATCCCTGCATTAACTGAGCTTGCCACCTTTTGCCACATTTCTCTCTTTTTTTACATTAGCTCTAAGGTTTTGTGCATTAAATGTTTATGTAGTTTTTTTTGTGGCAATAAAAATTTTATTTATTTATTTAAAATATACTCAAGGATGTTTAACTCGTGCTGCTATAGGTTGGTTCTCTCTTTGTGCCCGTGTCCCTTCTTAAAAAGTAAAATCTCCATGCACATAGAAAATGGCATAAAACAAAGACAAATTAGGTATAATTTAGTTTCTCTTTTAGCCTATACTATTATTATAAAGAAGAAAGTTTTGTATTTTATCTCTATAAACAAGGAAATAACCTAATTTCTTTCTAGAAGGCACTTCTTTTTTAAGCAAGGTACTAAATAGTAGAGACTTTTTTTTGGTTAGTAGTATAATTTAGGTAAGTAGCTAGGGTATAACCGACAATTTTTACATTTTATGAAGTTGTCAATACTTACATTCTTGCCGCTTCCTTCACCAACTCTTTAACAGTCATGTCGGCAAGTTTCAGTTTTTCAATTTCAGTTTTAGCGGCTTGTTTCGCTTTGCCTACAGCGCACCCAAAGTATGACTGAAATTATAAAATAAGACCATTATGCATAGAAAAAGGATTGTTCTATTGTTTGGATTCCGCTAAATTCACTTCTAAAATAATGGGAATGAAAATTAGACTAAAATTAGGACTCTAACATGCAATCTCATCAGACAAAATACAGAATTACTACCAATTCTGCCTTTGTATGTTCATAATATTGCACCAGGCACTCCGGCACATGTATGCAAAAACCTTGCATAGCCACTACTATATATGTAGAATTTTTAAGTAGTTTACAAAATACAGTATGTAATACTTACAAATGATACACCGCTGGGATCTAACATATACATCTGCGGTCCTTCATGTTCCGACCAGGATCCCATGACCACAGAGCAGCCATATGGACGGACAGCACTGTATAAAGTGTATGCATGCATGTACATTGAGACACGCTCATTGAGGTACTTGAGAGGCACCTGGATGCCATACTGTGATCTGTAGTTGGACGCTTCAGTGCGTGCTGTCTCAACAATTTGTCTTGCATCAGAGATTAAGCCAGCCACTGCCTGGAAATGGTAAAATTGACATATACAATAAACAAGCTAAGATGTAGTTTTATGCACACTATTTTATATTTAAAGTGTTGATTGCTGGTGCTGCCACTAGATTATCTGGAAGGTTCCATTCCTCAACAACTTTAATAAACAAAAGTAGCTCTATTCATTTTCTTTTTGTCGAGGTTTCCCGAGTTTTATGTTTCTCTATCTATCTGTGTTTTGATTATTTTAACATTATAGTCATTTTGATCTAAAAATGCCAAAATGATAACAAAAGTGTGAAACTGTGGGTAACAGAATGATGAGCAAGGACTCTATATGTTTAAGTACTGAATATTATGTTTAGTATTACACTCAGATTCACACAGTGCATGAGCTCATATGAATGAGGTTTTCTTATTCATTTTTAGCATGGTGTAGTAAAAATATGAAAGTAGGTAACAAAGGTAAAGGTAATGTATATCAATATAGAAGTTTAGGTAATAAAAACTTACCATTCCTACATGTTCATCCACATGAAAAATTCTTTTGTTTGCACCCGGTTCGTACAATTTCGATGTGACTAACTTTTCAACTGCAAACACGACTCCATCTTTACCTCGAAGTCCGATGACCGTGCCAGAGTTCTCAACTGCCTTAGCGGCGTATTCTACTTGAAAAACTCGACCGTCTGGTGAGAATTGTGATGCAGAAAGATCGTACTGGAACAATAAGTTAAAATGATTAAGCAAGTTTTTCTTATAACCTTTAAATATAAAAAGTATTTCTTTTTGGAAATGCTTTAATATCCAATCTTAAGTTAGAAAATAAATTTCACTTTTAATGTTTGGTTTCAACAAACACTTTGTCGAAGTAAAATTTTATTCTTACCCCTGTTCCGATGGAACTCATGGTTAATTTGAATAATTTGTTGTAATACTTTAATAAAACGCTTTTAAAGAAGTAGTTGTTAATACGTTTTGTTTCGTTGAGTCCTAAATTTTAAGTTAGAAACTTAACCGCGATCCGGCAAAAAAATTACAATGACAGAATGATTTTGCTTGTTGCTTGTCATCTTGCGACACAGATAAAACAAGTGTATTTTATTTTTTATCTACGTAACGTTATAAAATAACATTTTACCTAAAAAAATAAAAGTCTGTTTGATTATTTAACCAGATTTTTGTCGTGCTAGCTATGTAAAGTACATCTTTTGATACTAGACAACAAACTGCAGCACTTCCTCACGGGTGAAAATTTCTATACTAACGCCACGCGGAATTAAAGAAAACTAATCATCAATGGCTATTTATTTTTTGTTACATTTGTGT